GGCTCTGGCGCCTGAGCCAAGGCCAGGGGATGTGGGAAGCAGGCTGAGATCTGCTAAACTACACATGTGTGTGTGTCACTCTTGGGCTCTGTCCTTTCTGGGTGGTAGGTTGGAGTTATTGCAGCAATAGTGACAGGGACTTGATGTTGGGGAATGGGAGGAGGAGGAGGAAGCAAGGCCAGTGGGCGAGGATGGAGGGAGGAAATCCAAGGTGATGGCCGCAGATGGGTTTATGCCATGCTCCAACACAGGGAAGACCCTTAGACAGGACGATGTCAGGAGACTCAGGCCCTAGAGGTTGCCCCACACCTAATACCACGTAAGAGAGTTCTCAGGACAGATCCTCTTGCTGTGGACCTATTCCGGGACAGGTGACAAGGACAGGCCTTGAAAGGCACACTGATGTCCTAGGACAAAGGAATTTTCCTAGGATAAATCATGGGTATAGGGAAGGCTTCAGAGAACACATAGCCAAGACTAAGACCAGAACAACCACCTCTGAGGGACATCCTTGAAGACACCCTGGAATTAAGCCGCCGTGCTGACTGCCCTGGAGCGTGGTAGTGGAGGTGGATCGGGGGCAGCAAAGATGGTGTCAGGGGGACTGTGAGCAAGAAACTCCTGTCCCAAAAGGGATGAGAGTCTAAGGCCAAGGCAGACCGATGCCTTGTTTTGAAGACACTGGAGAGAGGGACAATAGGCAGATCTGGGACCGACAGAGGCCCCAGGACAGTAGAGTCCTCAGGAAATTGGAGTGTCAAAGTGAGGCCAGCCAGTACCAGGGCAGCAGAGGTGCCGTGGTGGGTCAGGAGGACTGTGAACCTGAGGGAGAAACGAGGGATCAAGAAGTGCCCAGAGCTGCCAAGAGTCAGGCACTGAGATTATACAAAAGGAGGTGACTGTCACCTCCCATCCCGGACATGAGCAAAGTGTTGCTGCGAGCATACTGGGGCCCACGGCCTGAACCTGAGGGTGCTGTACCCACAGCAAGACTGAGGTCGGCAGCTCCCACAGTGGAGATCAGACCTTTGACCTCCTGTCCCTCCCTCACCCCGCAGGTCAGCCCAAGTCTGCGCCCGCGGTCACTCTGTTCCCGCCCTCCTCTGAGGAGCTCAGCGCCAAAAAGGCCACATTGGTGTGTCTCATCAATGACTTCTACCCCGGCGCCGTGACGGTGGCCTGGAAGGCAGATGGCATCACCGTCACCCAGGGCGTGGAGACCACCAAGCCCTCGAAACAGAGCAACAACAAGTACGCGGCCAGCAGCTACCTGAGCCTGACGCCTGAGAGCTGGAAATCTAGGAGCAGCTACAGCTGCCAGGTCACGCACGAGGGGAGCACCGTGGAGAAGACTCTGACCCCCTCACAGTGTTCTTAGGACCCTCAGACCCCTCCAGCTCTTGGAGTTCGGGGGCGGCTACTGCTTAAAGACTCCCAGACTATCTCTTCTCCCAACTCCCAGTTGGCCTCTCCCTTTATCCAAATAACTCTCAATAAAATGTGCTATTGTCAATCAGACATCATGCTCTCTGCTCATTCTTGGTTTACGCATTTTTGTCCTCACTCCACCATTTCCGGTTTCACAATCCTCCTGGCCCTGTGGGAAAGGAGCCAGTGGAAGGAGTCGCCCTGTTTTTCTGAGGGGGAGTTTCACTCTCAACCACGACTGCATTAGAGGATGTTCCAGAACAGGGCACCCTGGCAGCACGACCCAGAACAGCCCACGTTCTCACCTTGCCCAATCTCCCTGTTCTTGTGTGGCTTCTGTCCACCCCTAAGACCCACGTTCCTCGACCCCCACGGCCCACACAAGAGAGCCCGAGCTCCCCGCCCCTCCAGATTCCTCAATCACATGCCTTTCGTCGCTTCTTGGACATTCTGGAAAATCCCACCACACCGTCTAGAGCCTCCCTCCTTTCTCAGGTCCCCACTTTCTCCTACCTCACCCGGGAAACACCCTGTGCCAGATCCTTCATGCTCTCACTGTCACACACACAGCAGGACCTCCGTCTATGGACCATGTCATTCACGCCACACTCCTGTTTGGGGAGCCTCTTAACAAACGTGTCTCATAAGTGTCACAGCTTTGTCAATTCTCTCCATGCCCTAAGGCCACCCACCGCTGACTCCACCACAAGACCTAATATCCGCTTGTTCTAGGATGACCGGCTCGTGGCCTACAGGTCAAAATCAAGCATCAGATTCTAAGAAAGGGCCATTAACTAGCCTATAAACCAATTCACCTACTTATGAGTACATTCTGTGCTAAGGCACACACACTCGCACACACACAGATACGAATACACATGAACATACACTCAAAAAGAGAATATTCATGAAGACACACATCTATTCACAAATATGATGGTGTCAGGATCCCTTTGTAGACCTGGGAATTGAAGGTGGTCCTGGAAGCCACCACATTCTCAGCAGAAGAGATGGGCTTTTCTCTAGAGCGTTCTGGAAGAGATGGGGTAGAAGGTACTGAGATGGGGGCCCAGGGTAGACACACAGAAACAACAGCCAGTCATTGTAGTCCTCAAGTCCTGGTGTGACCACTGACATTCATATCCAGGGACATTCATATCCAGGTTGAGAGCGAGACCAGGAGCCCTGAGGAAGTTCACGCAGGATCCGGCCAGGAACAGCAGGCAGAACGAGACAGAATGCACAGTGCTTACAGAGCATGACGCTTGTCGCAAAGAGAAGGATCCAGGCCTGTGTGTCACTTGCGTGAGCTCTGCGGATGACATTCAGAAACCGGAAAGCAGGCTGAGAATCGGGATGTTGGGGCCCTACTCACAGCATACAGGTTCAGTCCCAGAGTACAATGTATTTCGCAGGTTGTGGGTTCAACTTGTCCTAACTACATTAATGAACGGGGACATGTGTGATTCAGAAGACATGTGAGGGGACAACAGACACACAGGGGAAGCTCCTAGCAAAGAGGTGCTGGAGTAGCGATGGCTTCCTTATCTTTGCAGGGCCGTGACCGGGGCCTTCCTGCTGGAGTTCAGCCCATGCACCCAGGCAACGCGGCAGATGCCAACGTGAGGCACGGAAGTGTGACCAAATAGTGACCATCCCACTGCACCTTCAGTCTGGCCCAGCCTGAGGCAGAGATGCTGGAGCTCAGGACGGTGCAGAAGGGTCTGGGTCCTGAGGGCAAACGTGATTCTTCTCCCACCTGTGTTTCCCATCCCCACTCGTCACCCTGCTCCATCTCTTCTGCTGAGAATGTGGGGGCTTCCAGGACCTCCCCCGATTCCCAAGTCTACAAAGGAATCCCGATGCCATCATCTGTGTGGTTAAGAGGACATAGTCACTAATTTCACAATGACAACATGAACTGAACTCGGCCATGGAACAGATACTACGTAAGGATGAAATCAGGTGGAAATTCTTCTTCACTATCAGCACATTGTCTCCAATGTCATCCCATGACCAAGGACATGGAAAATCCTACAACTCCATGGCCCCGAAATTCCTTCCTCAGAGTCACCACTTCTTAACCAGCCATCTGCCCGATCACCACCCGTGACAAGGAGGCTGGACTTTGGGCCTCCGGTGCAGCTGCAGGTGGGCCTGGGCAGGGGATGAAGGGGGTGAAAAGAGGTTTGTGCTCGAGGCTGTGTCACTGTGTTATGCGTTCGGCGGAGGGACCCAGCTGACCGTCACAGGTGAGTCTCCTCCTTTCCCTCCTCTTGGTGCTCCATACTGAAGTTTGGGTCGATTTTCCTCTCCTTGCCGTCCAGTCTAGGACTGGGGTCTGAATGGCTCTCGACTTCTGTACATTCCCCTTTTTTGTCTGCCCATCTCAGTATCCTATATCTTGTTTTGCCTCTGAGGCTCCTGGTGGGGAAGGGATAGGAGAATCCCAGGGACCTCTCCTGCCACTCCTCACTGGAACCTGGAGCTTTAGGAGAATCCCAGGGACCCCTCCTGCCACTCCTCACTGTGACCAAGATCTCCTTATCCAGGGAACTTCACCTCTGGGCTCTAGGATGCTCAACTGCCTCAGGGTCTCTGAGCCATGGAGTCCTGGGAGAATGGAGGGGCTGTAGGACTGCGGGACTGCGGGGCTGTGTCTGGAGCACCTCCAGGGGATGTGGGAAGCGGGCTGAGATCTGCTGAACTGGACATGTGTGCGTGTCACTCTTGGGCTCTGTCCTTTCTGGGGGGTAGTTTGGAGCTGATACAGCATAGTGAGAGGAGCTTTATGTGGGGACATGAAGAGGATGAGGAGGAAGCAAGGCAAGCTGCACTAAGATGGAGAGAGGAATTCCGATGAGATGACCGCAGGGTGCTGGGGTTTTGCTCGTGCTCAAGACAGGCAGGACGTCTTAGATGGGACAAGTGTCAGGACATTCAGGCCCCAGAGGTTGCCCCACACCTATCACCCTGTAAGAGATTTCTCAGAACAGGATCTGGTCTGGGGACCATTTTCGAGACAAGTGACAAGGACAGGCCTTGACAGGCACACTGATGTCGTAGGACAGAGAGATTCCCCCAGGATAAATCACAGGATCAGGAAAAGATTCAGAAAATACACAGACCTAGACTAAGATCAGAACGGCCACCTCCTGGGGACACCTTCGTGGACTCCTTAGAATCCAGACATGGTGCTGACAGCTCTGTAGTGTAGTTGTGGGGAGTGGATTGGGGGCTGCAATAATGGTGTCAGGGGACTGTGAGCAAGTATCACCCTTCCCAAAAGAGAGGAGAGCATAAGGCCAGGACACACAGAAGTCCTGCTTGACAGACAGAGTCCTCTGGAAAGTTGAGGTGTCAAGGTGAGACCAGCCAGTACCAGGGCAGCAGAGGTGTCGTTGTGGGTCAGGAGGACCGTGAGCCTGAGGGAGAAACGTGGGGCCCAGAGGACACCAGAGCTGCCAAGGATCAGGCACCGAGATTCTCCAACAAGAGGTGACTGTCACCTCCCATCCCAGACATGAGCAAAGTGGAGCTACGAGCATACTGCCAGCCCACGGCCTGAACCTGAGGGAGCTGTACGCACATCAAGACTGAGGTCAGCAGCTCCCATAGTGGAGACCAGACCTCTGACCTCCCGTCCCTCCCTCTCCCCGCAGGTCAGCCCAAGTCTGCGCCCGCGGTCACTCTGTTCCCGCCCTCCTCTGAGGAGCTCAGTGCCAAAAAGGCCACACTGGTGTGTCTCATCAATGACTTCTACCCCGGCGCCGTGACGGTGGCCTGGAAGGCGGACGGCAGCCCCGTCACCCAGGGCGTGGAGACCACCAAGCCCTCGAAACAGAGCAACAACAAGTACGCGGCCAGCAACGCCTGAGAGCTTGAAATCTAGGAGCAGCTACAGCTGCCAGGTCACGCACGAGGGGAGCACCGTGGAGAAGACTCTGAGCCCCTCACAGTGTTCTTAGGACCCTCCGCCCCCACCACAGAGGGGCTGGAGCAGAAGGACACCCGGGAGGATCCCCCTCTCAACCCCCAGTCAGCCTCGTCCCTGCACCCCATCAGCTCTCAATAAAATGTGCTATTGTCAATCAGACATCATGCTCTCTGCTCATTCTTGATTTATGCATTTTTGTCCTAATCTCTACCTACCTAAGTGACACAATTCTCATGTCTCTGTTGTAAAGGAACTAGCGGAAGGTGTCTCCACGTGAGAGTTTCACTTTCATACAGAATCACCCAGAGAATGTTCCAGAATAGGAGATCTTGGCAGTACTCCCAGGACAGCACACATTCGCACCTTCCCTATAATCTCCCTGTTCTATGTGGTCCCTGTCCACCCCCTAGGACCACTTCCCTTGGTTCCCAAGACCTTCTGGAGAGAGCCTGAGCTCTTTTGCCTGTACCCCTCAATCTTGCCATTCCCACGCCTTCCACAGCTTCAAGCCTTTCTAGAAACCTCCTACCCTCACACGCCCAGCATCCCTACTGCATTAGGGTCTTCTCTCCTCCTACCTCATTGAGAAACTCTGTGGTTTTTTATTCCTGCATCCCTCACTGTCCCTCTCACTGCCGGACCCTCAGTTCCTGGATCTTGCTCACTCACTGATACACTATCCCCAGGTGACTCCTGCCTCTCACTTCATCATGGGAGTGTCGGCTCTGTTTGAGGCCCTTGGCAGACAGTAGCCAGCTCTGCTCTTTTTTGATGCCGTACAGTCCAGCCTGCCACTGACCCCACAGCAAGCACTGTCAGAGTGGCCACGGGTGGTTTAAAATCCGATTCTGTGTTTGTTCCTGAACATGTGTCTGAACGGACTCACCTTCCTGAGTGCTGAGACCCAGAAGAATGTTGCCCTAGAAGGTGACACGCTCCGGGGTCTGAGGACACACACGCTCACTTGCACACTCATATTCTCACTAACATGAACTTGCATGCGCACACATAATACACACACATGCTTTTACAGACATGGTCATGCAGCTCATGTGTCCAGGATGTTTGGTGGCATCCAGGACCCTCTAATCGGCCTCAGCTCTGCAGAGGGCACAGGCTCCATCAACTCTAGGTTTTACGCTGGACTCATCTCCTCCACCTGACACTCCCCAGGCAAGCGGAGCCAGCGACACAGCTCCTTCCAGGACTGGAAGTTCCCTTGGTTATGAAGGGACACTCAGACATTGACTTTTATCCCCTCCACAACTAGGGATGGATGGAAGGTCACCTCCTTAAAGAAGTCAAGTTGCAGCTGGGGAGGGGACCACCTCCTCTCATTCTCCCATCAGCCAGACCAGCCCCCGTGACCAGGAGGCTGGACTTTGGGCCTCCCCTGCAACTGCAGGTGGGCCTGGGCAGGGGGTGGAGGGGTGGCAGGAGGTTTGTGTACGAGGCTGTGTCACCGTGTGCTGTGTTCAGTGGAGGGACCCAGCTGACTATCTCAGGTGAGTCTCCCCCTTTCCCTCCTCCTTGGGGTCCAGAGTGAAACATGAGTTGATTTTTTCTCTCCTTTCTATCCAGGCTAGAACTAGGGTCTAAATGGCTGTGGTTTTTTGTAACCTTCACCTTTTTTGTCTGCTCATCTCAGCATCCTTTACCCTGTTTTGCTTCTGAGGCCCGTGGTGAGGTTAGGATAGGAGAATCCCAGGACCCCTTCCTGCCCCTCCTTACTGTGACCCGGAGTTCTCTCCAGGGGACCTTCATTCCTGGACTCTGGGGCAAAAGGCTCTTTATTTTTTCTGAGGGAGAGTTTCACTCTCACCCAGAAATACCCAGAGAATATTCCAGAACAGAAGGTAGAGGAGAAAACCCAGGATAGCTGTCTTCTGCACCTTCCTTGCTCTTCCTTTTTGGCCCATGTCCACTTCCAGTGTCCTCCCAGTGGCCTCCAGGGTGGTGTCTGAGCTGCCTTCCCTAGAATCATGGGTCCTTACCACCTGGTCCTGCAGGTAAGACAGCCCCTCCTGAAATAGGAGAATCTGAACCCAGGACAGAAAAACACCCTGTATGAAGACACCACAGAGAGAGGGACCTGGAGCGAGTCCTTAGACAGACAAATGCCCCAGGACAGACAGATTCCCTCAAGGCTAATGCCAGTTAGTGCCAGGGAGCACAGTGGTAAGGTAGCAATTTATGATGACATGTGAACCCGAGGAGGGATTGAGGCCAAAGAAAGGCCCAGAATTCCCAGATTCGGGCACTGAGATTCTTTCTACAGACCTAGTCAGGCTCTCTCCATGCCCCACCCTAGTCGTCCCCAGCCCCGCTCCCTGCACCAATCAGCCCTCAATAAAATGTCCTCATCGTCAGTCAGAAATCATGCTCTCTGCTCATTTATTTTGTCTCATATTTAATTTGTGACCTCTCCCGGTTCTCGGGATGGGGTGGGGAAAATCCTTGGCACCCAGTGGGAAAGTACTCCCCAGGGAGAGGCTCACAGTCTCCCCGAGGAAACCGGTCAGGACACAAAGAGTCTGGTCACCGATCAGTCCCTCTGCTCTGTCTTTTCTCCCACTATGTTCCTCCTTCCTGGTTGGAGCTGGCTATGGCCAGTGACCTCCAGATAAGCCCTTCCTCCCCACCCTGATTGGGACCTTCTGCCCCCCCACACACACCCCTTCCTCTCTGCCCCCTTTCCTCAGCCTGGAAACCCTGCTATGACTTGGACTCCCTCTTGTCCTGGCCCTCGCTCCCTGGAGTGCCCTCCTCCCGCTCCGCCCAGCTCAGCTCCTGCCCACCTTTACCCCTTCCCTGTCACTCCTTCAGGCTGGACCATCCATGGGGTCCAGGAAACTCCAGCAGTATCAGCTTCACAGGCTCTTAAATCCAGGGCCCACCTTGATTCCTCACCTGATGGCGGGTTCAGAGGCGTAAGTCTAGGAGGAAGTCAGGAAGGAAGCTAGCATACAAAGACCTGCCGGGATGCTCCAGCACTTGACACAGATAAGCTCTGAGCTCCCCGGGAACCAGTGCAAGGAGGGAAATAGGTGCCTCACAATTTTTCTGAGATTAAATAAAACCTTTGCTGGAGGGAAATTGGTATCTTAGGCATCTTATACCGCAGTTAAAAGTGGGGACATGTTTTCCCCGAGGCCTCAACATTGATGGGAATCAGGCTCTGACACACACACAGCTGACCTCCCGGCAGCCTGGGGCAGATGACCATGAGCTCACTTCAGCTGCCACTGCCCTGGAAGCCCTCCATATTACTGTCTTTGTTACCACCAGGTCGCCATCTTTGGGTTTATACAGTAACGGTCCCCTGATTTGCCCCAGAGTGGCCCAGCCAGCCAACTAATCTCCTGTCCCTGGATCCAGAATGGACGAAATCACAACACACACTCATTACACATCCTGGGCCACTCTGCCCCTACCTGATGCCCCCATGGCTGTCCCGGGACCCCTGAGCTGTTCCCCCACTCATGGCCCAGCTCTGCCACATGGGAGCAAAGGGGAGTGGGATACTCTCAGGTATGTGGCACAGAAAGGTACCTGCCACCTTCCCAAGAGGGCATTAATTATTGAAGATCATTTCCATCTGCTCATGGACATCGGCAGGAAAACCAGGACTGTATGGGGACTTTGTGAGGCTGCAAGGCTCACGGGGTATCTCTGAAGATGAAGATCCTAGGGCTCTAGCTCTTCCAGCACACTTTGGGGGCTTGGATGGGGTGGGAGCAGTGGCAGTGGGTCAGGCTCGAGCCACCATGGGCGGGGGGCCGTGGAGGGGCCATGCTGAGGTCCCAGTGAGTCTCTCCCTCGCCTCCTATGTTAGTTTCCTGTAGCTGATGTGACAAATCACAGCAAACTTAGTGGCTCAAAACAACACACATTTATTCTCTCACAGGTCTGGAGGTCAGAAGTCTGAAATGGGTCCTACAGGCTAAAAGCAAGATGTTGGCAGGGCCACGCTCCCTGCCTTTTCAAAAAGCTTCTAGAGATTCCCGCATTCTTTGGCCCGTCTCCCGTCTCTCCAACATCAAAGCCGCTCGTAGCATCTTCACATCTCTCTCCCTTCCTCTCTGACCTCTGCATCCATCACCACATCACCTCCTCTCTCACTCGGACCCTCCTGCCTCCCTCTTTTCCCTATGAAGACCCTACGTGGGGCCACCTGGATCCTCTACCCCTCTCAAGGGCCTTAGTTCCATCATGTCTGCAAGAGCCCTGTTGCCACATCAAGGAACAAGTTCTGGGGATAGGGATGGGGACGCCCTTGGGGACTCTGATTGGCTGACCACAGCTCCATGTCCCAGTTCCCGGGGGTTCAGGAAACCTTCTCCCACATTCCTCTCTGTTGCTACATCCTGCCCAGTCCCTGGTCTGGGCCACTCCTGGGGCCTTCCCGGCCCAGGCACAGCTCTCCTTTCTCCCTGGTCCCCTTCTTCTCCTGGGGTCACAGGAGAGAGATGTTGATTTTAGCTTCAGCTTTGGGGCATTTCCTCCTGCTGGCCCCAGTTAAATGCTCTTCAGGCCTCTCAGTCACCAAACCAGCCAGCTAACCAATCTCCTGCCCCTTCCTCTTGCAGGAAGATCCTGTTATGATCTTTGGAATACAGATGGAGACACCGAGACCCAAAGACGCCGAGTAGCATGCCCAAAGTCACAGCAGGGACTAAACCCAGGCCCCCTACCAGCTACTCCAGATCTCAGCTCCTGACTCCAGGTACCCACTGCCCTCAGCATCCTGCCCATCCCAGCCTGGCCCTCCTTATTAGTCCAGCTTCCTCCCTAAAGACCTCTAGGTCCACCTGTACCCAGAACCCCACCTTGGGACTCATGGCCTAAGGGGACAGAGTTGTTGGGTCTGATGAAGGACAAGGAAGCCAGGTGCTTTGAGTCAGAGTGGCTGGCTTCCTCAGACCTTTTCCCCTGCCTCTGGGTCAAACAAAAATCAGTGTCAGAGCACTTGGGAGAAGGGCCGAGAGAGTGTCTCCTCTTCCTGGGGACTCCACCTTTGTCCTGGTACTGGAAGGTGAGGATCACCACAGGGCTCACCCTCGGTTGCCCCAACCTCAGAAGATCAGTCCCTAGAAGATGGCTGTTGGGTCTGATGAAGGACAAGGAAGCCAGGTGCTTTGAG